TGTGTGTGTGTGTGTGAGTGAGATCAGAGAAAGACGTTTTAAAGCCTTTTATCTCTTGGTGAGTGAGTTAGGGGCCTTAGAGAGAGAGAGAGAGAGAGAGAGAGAGAGAGTATTAACACACACACACACACACACACACACACACACACAGGAAAATAACACGAAAAGTTTGGCTGTAAATTGGGGCCAATCAGCTTATCTGTGTGTGTGTGTGTGTATGTGTGTTAAAGGTGTGTTATGTATGTATGTATGTATGTATGTATGTATGTATGTATGTGTCAAACCAAATTCCTAAAAATGTCAAAACTTCAAAAAATTTCACCAAGAACCAAAAAAAAATAATTAAATAAATAAATTCACAAAACTAAATTAAATTATCTTCACAAAACCTGTAACTCACAATGCTTCATAAACGTGAACCCGTGAACGAACCCGTCTCATTCGAAGCCATCTTTCAAGCTTAAAACTTAATATATTCAGCAACACTCATCATTCAAAGCTTCGAAAATCCCTCCCATGACATTTGGGGTTTAGCTTTGTATCCCTGGGTAGTGAGGCGGGGAATGAAATTGGTTCATATGCTTCGATTAACACAGTGGAGATTCGAGACACCTGTTCGAACCTCTGATACTGATTCATTTGTTATTGTGAACCCTATATAAGGATTCATTTGTCGTTCGTGGGATAATTAGGTTCGGATGCTACGATTAACACAGTGGAGATTCGAGATACCTGTTCGAACCTCTGATACTGGTTCATTTGTTATTGTGAACCCTATATAAGGATTCACTTGTCGTTCGTGGGATAATTAGGTTCGGATGCTACGATTAACACAGTGGGGATTCGAGACACCTGTTCGAACCTCTGATACTGGTTCATATGTTATTGTAAACCCTATATAAGGATTCATTTGTCGTTCGTGGGATAATTAGGTTCGGATGCTACGATTAACACAGTGGGGATTCGAAACACCTGTTCGAACCTCTGATACTGATTCATTTTAATATTACGAGTTAGATCCGAGGGTTCATTTATACTCATTAAAAGTTTCATTCTCTCGTAAGTTCAAATAATCCCTAGAAAAGTTCATTAAAGTTCATTATAAAGGTTCAATAAGGCTCGATACATTGGTTCAATATCATGTAGGTTCAAAAAAGTTTATTTTTGTTTTGGTTCTTCTTCTTCTTCCTCTTCCTTTCACCTGTCAAGAACTACAACACACACACACACACACACACACACACTATAACATTATAATACATTAATACAATATATACTGTATTTGTGTGACAGACAGACAGACAGATAGACAGACAGACAGATAGACAGACAAACAGACAGACAGACACAAACTTTTAAACCTTCTCTCGCCAAATATCAATACTGGCGAAACTTTCTTAATTTAGTGTCGCCAAATTACACAATGACAAAGTTTATGAACAAATAGAAGTAGTGTAAGTTGGTGCCGCCAGATGGCTTTCTGAAGATTTCCCGCCAAATTTAATTCTAGTTTCCCGCCAAATTTCGAAATTCGATTCTGGTTTTGCAATATCATACTCAAGGGGTTAAATCATCATACTCAAGGGGTTAAATCATCATACTCAAGGGGGTTAAATCATCATACTCAAGGGGTTAAATCATCATACTCAAGGGGTTAAATCATCATACTCAAGGGGGTTAAATCATCATACTCAAGGGGTTAAATCATCATACTCAAGGGGTTAAATCATCATACTCAAGGGGGTTAAATCATCATACTCAAGGGGTTAAATCATCATACTCAAGGGGTTAAATCATCATACTCAAGGGGTTAAATCATCATACTCAAGGGGTTAAATCATCTTTCAACCAATGAAATGCTTTACCCAGTATATTTGAGTTAGCCGACTAAATTAAATTAATATTTGTCCTTCCAACATATCTGTGATCTAAGCCTTGCAAATGCACGCAAAGGTTTTAGAGTAGTTACCCTTATAATTCCCGTTTTCTATAGTGCTACAGAGTAAAATAAGTTTGTCCTTGTGATATTTTGAGTTCAACTGTGCCTATGGTTTTTATATTGCATAGGTACATTGTGCCTATGGACAAGAACGTGCCTATTGATTTGCTGATGTCTGTGAGTCGATTTGGTGCTGCTATAGGTCAAAATGTATATATACATGTAGAATGTGTATATATTGATTTTCTTAAGGAATGTGTAAAGTTGTATGTTAAATTGTGAATTGTATATATAGTGTACATTGTGTATGTGTGTATATTGAATGTATAGATAGTGAATTTATACGGTTTGGATGTGTATGAATGTGTAGACGCTGCGTGAATGTGTGGTTTTAAATATTTGTTCCAAGAATGTGGATGTGGTGTAGGTTTCTAAAATGATCGTTCAGTTTCTTATGGTTTCGTTCAGTGGATGTGGATGGCTTCTTATTGTTGACGATAAATTTTGGGAAAGACGAAGATTTGTTGGAATTTTTTTTTTTGCGTTGGTTCAAGGTGCAGGAGGAAGAGGAAGAGGAGGAGGAGGAGGAGGGGGAAGAGGAGGAGGAAGAAGATAAGAAGAAGACCCTTTAATTCTTCTCTCCCTCCTTCCTTCCCTCCTTCCCTCCGTCCTTCCCTCCCTCTCACTCAGTCAAATTTTGTCTCCCGAATAAAACTCATATTTTTCTTATCTTTAACATAAATAAGTTTCAAAGTCAATCTGTAGTGAAGTTCTTAAGCAAGTTTATTTGTTTTAATGTTTATTTTTGTTTTTTTTCTTGTTTTTGTTTGTTTGTTTGTTTATGTTTTATTTAGGGGGAATAATAATACGTCTTTGGGTATGCCTGTGTTCGAATGCATTTGTCTTTGAACGCTATTTTGTTCTATTTTATATAAGTCCCTTGTGGTATTATCTTCTAAATAACATATTTCTTAACATATTTCTAGGACTTATTTTAATATTTCGGACGTTTTCAAGTCCTATTCAAGTCCGTATCAGAAAACCCATAAACCAAACCTAAGCCACAGTCACCATACCATCATTCGAACATTGCCACCTCAACCAATCACAGCTCAGAGATATGTTTCTATAAACATGGCGGCTATCCAGATGAAATTTTACGACCTAATCAAATAAAAAACTATCTTATCTCTTGTTATAGTGAATAATCTTATATATGAATGAATGAAAATGTATAATAGAAGAATTTTAAAGATTTTTCTATCATTTTATACAATAGAATGTAAAGGACAGACTGAAAAATGGCTTACGTGTGAGAGGAAGGATTTTTAATAGCTTTGTGGGATCAGCTGATGATGTCAACACTAGTCTGGAGAGTTGCCAGATAGTGTGAGAACATTTAATTAATTACGATTACTTAGGCAGATTAACTTTAACCTAATTTAACTTAATCTTACCTTATCTGGTCTAATTTAACCTGACCCGGTCTAAACTAACCTAACCTAGCCTCCTTTCTTCTTCTTAGGTCAGGTCAGGTCAGGTCAGGTCAGGTTAGGTTAGGTTAGGTCAGGACAGGTCAGGTCAGGTTAGATCAGGACAGGTCAGGTTAGGTTAAGTCAGGACAGGTCAGGTCAGGTTAGGTCAGGACAGGTTAGGTCAGGTTAGGTTAGGTCAGGACAGGTTAGGTCAGGTCAGGTCAGGACAGGTCAGGACAGGTCAGGTCAGGTTAGGTTAGGACAGGGCAGGTTAGGTCAGGACAGGTCAGGTCAGGTCAGGTCAGGTCAGGTCAGGTTAGGTCAGGTTAGGTCAGGACAGGTCAGGTCAGGTCAGGACAGGTCAGGTCAGGACAGGTCAGGTCAGGTTAGGTCAGGACAGGTTAGGTCAGGTTAGGTTCAGGTCAGGACAGGTTAGGTCAGGTCAGGTCAGGACAGGTCAGGACAGGTCAGGTCAGGTTAGGTTAGGATGGTTAGCACTTTCTGACTCCAACATTTATTACAGCAGCTTCAAGTAATTTGCTTGGCTTAACCTTGTGTGAAAGTGAAAATTTCTGTGTCTGTCTGTCTGTCTGTCTGTCTGTCTGTCTGTCTGTCTGTCTAAAAGAAAGACAAAAGAGAGAGCAGTGAGTCGTGTTATATTCCTCTGGTAAAACAACACACAATTCCTCTCTCTCTCTCTCTCTCTCTCTCTCTCTCTCTCTCTCTGGCATATCCTTTCATCCTATCTCTCTTATTGTTTATTCTCCCTTTTCTCACACACACACACACACACTCCCACACACACCTCCCACACACACACACACACTCCCACACACACACACACACACACACACACACACACACACACACACACACACACACACTTCCTCTCACACTACCTCCACACACACACTCTCTCTCTCTCTCTCTCTCTCTCTCTCTCTCTCTCTCTCTCTCTCTCTCTCTACGTGTGTGTGTGTGACTGTTTTTCTCCCTTACCCTCCTCCACACCTAACCTAACCCAACACGCAAAGACAGCTTCTCAAAGGCCATGTTAGGTTAGTGTCAGGTTAGGTCACGTTAGGTCAGTTTAGGTCAGGTTAGGTCACGTTAGGTCATGTTAGGTCACATTAGGTCACATTAGGGCAGGTTAGGTCAAGTTAGGTCATGTTAGGTCACGTTAGGTCACATTAGGTCAAGTTAGGTCATGTTAGGTCAAGTTAGGTCAGATTAGGTCACGTTAGGTCATGTTAGGTCATGTTAGGTCAGTTTAGGTCAGGTTAACACACGTCAATTTAACACCCCTTCAAACAATGTTATTATTTTTAACCCAATCAACATTAAACACCATCAATAACGGCCGTAAATCACATTAATAACGCTTAATAAACCCGTGACAGCTGTTTTAAATCTCTCTTGAAAAATCACGTAAATATGAATCTGTGTTGGATCCAGAAATTAGTGTTATGAATTTGTGATGATGACCAACACATTAACGAGTTTGATGACCTTTTGACACGAAATGTAGTGTGGATGTGTGTCTGTGTATGTCTGTATGTATGTATGTATGTATGTTTCTATGTATG